TAGATAGATAGATAGATAGATAGATAGATAGATAGATAGATAGATAGACAGATAGATAGACAGATAGATAGACAGATAGATAGATAGATAGATAGCTTCATTTCTTTTGTCTCTATGGAAAAAGATTTCTCACACAGGAAGTGCTTCTGCTTTGTTTGTTTTAGAAACCATGACGGTTTTAAGTTACACACTTTGTCACGTGTTCAAACTATTATTCAGCAACAGTGGAGTCACTGTGGATGATGGATGGATGGATGATGATGGATGATAGATGGATGATAGATGGATGGATGGATGGATGATAGATGGATGATGATAGATGGATGGATAAATCCCATCCTTTAACTTTTATTGTGAAGCCATATTCTCAGGCAATGTGGTCAATGTCGCCATCTGCAGTTCACTTTCAGACATGACCACATGTGTACATATGATATATAAATAATATTCATAAGCAATTACTCCTCCTCCCCTCTCCTCTCCTCTCCTCTCCTCCTCCCCTCTCCTCCCCTCTCTTCTCCTCTCCTCTCCTCTCCTCTCCCCTCTCCTCCTCCCCTCTCCTCTCCTCTCCTCCTCCCCTCTCCTCTCCTCCTCCCCTCTCCTCTCCTCTCCTCATCTCCTCCCCTCTTCTCTCCTCTCCTCTCCTCCTCCCCTCTCCCCTCTCCTCATCTCCTCCCCTCTTCTCTTCTCTCCTCTTCTCTCCTCTCCTCTCCTCCCCTCTCCTCTCCCCTCTCCTCTTCTTTCTCCTCCTCCTCCTCCTCCTCCTCAGTAAAAGGCTGCAGCTGTGATCTGTTAAGAGGATTTAGTCTTTCACTCTGAACTCGGTTGTTGTCACGGTGACGAGCTTTGTATTTTAGTTACGTAACTGAAAGTTACTTTAAGTATTTACTCCAATTATGAGCGAAGTAGAAATACATGAGATGTGTACATATTTCAAATTTTAAAACTATGATGATGACGAAGATGGTGATGACGATGATGAAGATGATGAACATGGTGATGAAGATGAAGATGATGATGAAGATGATGAACATGGTGATGAAGATGAAGATGATGATGA